TTACGAACACAGTTTTAGTTACCTATTAATTTATTTTCGACGTAAGAACCATAAACTGGCGGAAAGGGCGTTTTGAAGTAGAGGAAACTCTGTTAACCAGCAAAACCGTCCACCGACCTGAAGACGAAAACACTAAAAAATTTTCGTCGTATTTGTCTCGCACGTTCTAATTTTTATACCATATAATATAATCAAGTTTTTCACTAAGGCAGTTCTGCTGCGTTTCATTTACGCTTCCATTGCAGTGACAGTAACCTGCGGGAGTTATCTTAAATTTTGTGGATTTACGCATACCGGTTACTAAGATGCCACTTGTTTCGTTGACCAGTTTGCCTAATTTGCTCTAAATTCGATCAAACAAGCCGTACTAAGTCACGCCCTGCAATAACGCACGGGATATTGGCCGTAATTCAGGTTGATTACGTGCACAGTATAAGGAAACACTCTTGCGCCTAGTTGTACAAGCACGAAGAAATAATTGGTACCGGGATCTTTGCGCCGACAACTTCCGCATGCGCATGCGGATGGAAATTTAAAAGGCATCTGGGGTGCTTATACCCGTACCTAATAAACTTGTTTATTGAACATGATCCGGGCCGAACCAGTCATTCCGAAACTCCCATATTGGGCTATTTAGTGAAGATACCGCATTCAGTGATACAGCAAATCGCCTTTCACCAATTCCATGTACGCGTAAATTTTGATTCACGTAAATCTCTGGCAGCGCGTCACATTCTTTTATAACTGCTGCATGGTTGTGATGCATTGATGTCCGTACCCGGATTGTCCTAAGTGGCCTAACTTATGTTGTCATGGTCATTATTTAATCCAATGCTAAATTTTGCTTAGAATGTGCCAGGGTTTCGCCATTCTTGAAGCTTTGACTACAGAAGCAATCGACAAATTCCACAGTCGAAACCGACTTGCCCTGCTACTGTTGCGGCTACGTCGGTTTGCACCGCGGATATCTGTAACTGAAAACAGCATCTGCACTATGTGCGCCCTCGCGAATGCGAGAGCGCGTGCACGAGCAAAGTATGCACAGCCATACACATGTTTCCTCGTGCACGTTTTATTCTTATTCAAATTCTGTCGCTACAGTGCATGTTGAGACCGCTTTGCACTACCGAGCCAGCGGGTGGCCACTGAAAGTCGTCTGATACGTCCGGAACTAAAGCCGGGAGCAGGCCACTTGGGGTCAGTCCCTCCTTGTCTATTTCCGCTTCAGAGGCGCATCCTGTTTAGTAGTTTTCAGGACGGGAAAATAGCTTAACATCTTCGTGCAACATCGGCATCAGTCCACCAAGGTCTAACTCTGTCACAAAATAGCAGTTTTATGGAATCTCAGAGGTACGGACATTATATCTGCGATCGGGCAAAAGATTTATCACGATAACTTAATTATGACGCACAAGCTTACCAGATACAGAAACCGGATACGAATTCGGTTAGTTAAAAAGGAACGGATAAAATGGTCGCCAACCATTTTCAGAGTTTTTAAGCATGCAGAAAGGAATATTTACCTCAGGCAGCTATGTTTTGCTTGTCGGCCGAATCCATCCCAGAATCCCTTCGTAATTGGTAAATTTTTCCATTTTTTGTTATGACTAATCACACAGAAATGATGAACTGCAAACTGTCGGTTGTAAATCGCGTTCTAATCGCGGTCGTTGCGGTTAGCGCTGCGACTATGTTGGCCGTTAATGTGTCTCTCTGGATTCTGGCTACGTCGACATACTCCGACCAGTCTAATAATCAGGTGACGCCGTGGCCGCGGGTACACTATCTTCAGCAGCAGCGGACAGTACCGCCGACGGCATTCCTTTCCCGCTACCAGACGGAAGATTTTGGTATGCCGAAAGATCCGGTGCACTTTGCCCGCGCAAAATATTCCGCAAAAATCCAACCTAGCGCATCCACAGCGATGCTGCGATCGAATCCGAAGCATCGCGCCACCATCTTGGAAACTTTAGGGCGCTTCAAACAGCACCATATTTCAGCATTAGCACATCGCTTGGCCCAAAGATCTCGTCCACGATACGTAATGCAGTCAAGAGACAACTGGTTTCTAGGAAAAAGTCCATAACAGCACAGCCATTAACCGTTCTTTATGGTAACATCGTTTACAGTACTGCTTGTGATGACATTTAGGATTAGTCAAATGATTTCCATCATTTCATCCGCCTCCTTGTTGTTGCAAATATATTTTTTTCTCTGAAGTTGCAGAGCCATTTGTACACCTGCTTGACCGCTGCCTTCATGTACACGGTAATTCATGGTAAATCGCAATGTTGTGTGAGATAATTAGGTTTTCTGGTTGTGTTATACCAAGCATCTCTGACTAAATCCTATGGAGCGCCTGCCAAGAAGCACTTGAACTGTATTCGGTCCACCAAGACATAAATTAAAAATTTGATTTAATGTTATAATAATTTGCGACAACCATAAAGTGTGCTCATTTTAAGTCACATACCAGAACAGTTACAAATATGTAATGGTGAACATGTGAGCTTGCCAATGCAGGATATGAGATGGCCGTACAAAAGGCAGTAACAGCACTACGTGGCGAAAAACAGGAAACCTGTCGCAATATTTTGCTGCCCTTGCCAATGATAAAGAAGCTGTTATTTCGAAACTTTGGCCTTGTTGGGGTTCCATCACGCGTCATTCACTTGTTGTTGTCATCTGTTATTGCTGTTGTCATCTGTTCACTTGTTATTTGTTGTCATCTTCATCGGTGCCGATGTGAATTCGAGTATTTACGATTTCACTTGATACTTCCGACTTCCAAGCCATTGGCACCGGCCAATGACAGCGACTGCTAAATAAATCCGGGCGCGGTTGTTTCAGCCTTCGGGTAATAACTTCACGAAATTCAACTAGTTGGTATTTGAGCAGGTGGCTGTTGATACACAGGTAAGGAACAGGTAAGAAACAAATATCAAGGAACAAGATCTATATTACGACAACCCAGTAACTGCTACAGTAGCAGAAAAACTATAGAGAAATAAAAAAAAAACTGAAAACGCCAGTCGATTCTGTACTGCTAGAAACCGTTCACAAGCATTTTGATTTAAAAACAAAGCTCCCAGCCCCTCTCACCGGTTCCGGTTCCGGTAGAACGATTAATCTTAAGGTGACCTTGAAAATTTTCAAAGTGCGGTTGCGTAGAACGGGAACTCAATAATTTAGCATGATCTAACTAGAAACTATTAACTTTAAAAAAAAAAATTAAAATCTTCATTTGGTCATAACTATCGTTCAGGCGGCTGACCTTTCATTACAATCCTTTTAAGGTCGTTGGCAAATGCAGAATTTGAATGTGAACATGAACTGTCATGTAAAATTGTTATTAAGGGATCAACAAATTTTATGTAAATCGCAGCAACCATCACAGGGCAAGGAACATACGGCAAATGTCCATTCGGAAGACAGACGCCACATGTCCATACGTACAATGAACTCATATTATTTCTTAGAACAGGTAAAACTTCGACACTATAGAAAGGACTGCTCGCAGTAAATGTTTAAAATTTGTTCGCGGTTAAAAGCACTCGTAAAGGTGCACTGCGGCGACCGGCGAGCGGTAGTGACAAGCATAACACGTCCTGTGCACATGCGCACAAGCCTCTCAAAATGAACGAGTGACCAAACCACCACTACTTTACAGTGCACATAGCCCGTTAGGCGAACGAGTGACCAAGCTGCCACTACTGACCGGATACACACTACCGGATCCCCCCCCCCCCTCCATCCAACCTTTGTGACTGAGTCACCGAACTAGAGATAGTGTCCAGTGCACTCGCACTGTGATTTTCAGATTCACATAATAGGTCAACTGTCCGCTCATGGAGATTACCCGCAATGGTACGTTTAAAGACATGGCGAACAAAATTCAGGAACCTGAGATTTTGCCAACAAATGCATTGTAAAGGAGGGGTCTATTGAGTTGTGGTGTTAAAATACACTGCTGTATTCTCGTGAAAAACTTGATCTGAAATACTGCGTATCCTGGAGAATTGTTGTTGTTGTGAGTGTCTGCGGCCTCGAACTGCGCTCTTTCCATGAATGTGTGCGGACGTTAAACTATTAGACTAGACCTGAATCTAAAGTCAGTTTTGGTAATCTAAGTTGTTTACCATCTTTTAAATTGTTAGCAGTTTTTGTTTCAACCATGTTAATGGTTTCGACCAATACAGACACGGTTGTCGCCGACATCCACCTGAATTACATTTTAGTAGTACAATGTAGGACTAATATATTTTATGGTCGCATATTCCCATACGCATGGGCGCATTAAAGTGTTACACGGTACGACGAAGTCAAAATATCCGGTTCGTGCAAGTGCTGTCGCCAGCGCAGCTCAAAAAATCACAGACACTGCGTGCAGAATGCTACCCATAGGTATGCGACCGTTTACTCCTAAATTGTACGTGGTTTAGCATGTGTGCATGGTTGCTCCAACAGCTGTGTCTTTCAGGTTGTGCTTTGGCCAATAAAACTTCTGGTCGAGCTTTTTATCGTGAATACGCTTTTGTTTAATGGTTTCTTTATGGCTTTGATAGTATTTTTACGACAAAAACCATACAGTAGTACAACTGCTATAGTATTATGAGTTCGCGATCGTGATTTCTGGAGATAAAATCAGCTATATGCTGCAGGCATCAACTGACATAACTGTCAGTAAGGGTGTGCGTTGACGGTATTGGACATTTAGAGATCAAATAAGTATGCAACATATTTCAAAGACCGTTTTAGGCTGTCCAAAAAGCCTGTGAACGACACTGAACGCGCTTGTACGATTTTAATACTCGATTACTTGAACTGTACTTTCAGGCTTACTGATTTTCAAAGCACGGGCCGGTAACCATCATTAAATGGTAGTAAAACATTTATTGCCATTGATTTCACCGACATTTGTTTTGCCCGGAGCACCAGCAAGAGCATGCAAAGCTTTATGAAACGGCTGCATACGTGCATTTATTTTGTGCAAGCGCAGATAAAATAATATGTCCTCGTACAACGGTAAATAACATTATTTTGCCCGTCTGGTCTATGTACGATACGGTCCTGTGTAACTGTTTTTGTTTTCACAGACATTATTGGCTCAGGCTCTAATATAATTTTCATAAACCTTACATAACACTAAACAAGTGCCTACCATGAGCGATAATGCAGGCATTACAAAACACCGATTGGTCAGAATCACCCACTTCGACACTCCTCCTTTGCTAGGAAACAGTAAGCCTGATTTTAGTATTGTGTTTGAGCTTTAGGTTTATTTTAAGTTAGCTAGTGTAGAACAATTGAGAAATTCTAGATAAGTGCCGTTTTTAAGATTTCAACGTAAATACCGGTAAGCATAAGAATATTTTCCTCAATGACGTTACAAGTAATAATGTGGCGCGTTCTCATTATTTGCTTTTTCTGTAAAAATTTATAAAATATTTTTAAGGAAATAATAATTAAAAGTCTAAAAAATAGTGAAAAACCTTTGGTGTAAATCCAGTTTTCATGTTCTTTGCGTTTTCCTGCAAAATTTAAGTAGGTTTGGTGAGTAGACTTGTGTACACTTTGAGTGACTTGTGGTACACCTTTGTGAGAAAACGGAAGATACCCCGTTACCTAGCACAGTACCAAATTCCAAATTCGGGTGCAAAGACGAGAACTTTCACTTCAGCGCAATCCCAGATATTTTTTTCTGTTTTTTTAAACCCTCTGTAATCAGGTGAGTTGTCTACGTTGGCGTGAACCAGGGCTGGGCGTGCAACATCCGGTTGGGAAGCCATGGGTGAAATAAAATTCCAAATTCAAAGCATTCAAGTGCACCTAAAATCTCATCATAACCCGGTGTGCTTCCAGTTCCGCACGTAAAGGCGCTTCAGTATAAAGATCGCCTCTACACCGAACCACATATCCCACCTTTCTTTTTCGAAATTTTAAAACGAATTTTACAGCTTTCAAAAAGTTTTTTGAAGTATCAAAAAATGCTGGATCCTTACCAGGCTAGCGTCACAGGCCCCCCTCTCAGAAAAACTTCATTTTTTGCAGGATTGCAGAGTAACACTAGGGTATGCTTAAAAAAATAATTTCATCTGCCATGGTCAGCAGGGCGTGGCCAAACAGAATTTAGAAGTTACAAACTTGCTATGTTATAGCCTATGGCCAATGCATTGCTTCGTACTTTAAGCACATTTACGAATTAATACGAACCACTTGAATGCGCTATCGTACGAGGCCTATGTGAGTCCAATATTCCCCGTTAACCGTTTTTGTTTCTGAAACGGCCTGTACGTGGTACTTAACAATATTTTGTAAGAGCTAGATTAGCAGGTGTAATTGTGTAAATACTTCCATTTCCATTCGCGCTATCAGTTTTTATCACATACCGCTAGCACGAAAACCGAGGTAATGAGGACCTACAGATTATCTCTAAACTTAAAAATAATTAACTGTCATCTACTAGCCCGTTTCAGAAACGGGAAGCCGAGAACATTTAGCGCACATAAGCCTCGTACGATACCACGTGAAGTGGTTTGTATTAAATCGTAAATGTGCTTAAAGTACGAAGCAATGCATTGGCCATAGGCTATAACATAGCAAATTTTAAACTTCTAAATTCTGTTTGGCCGCGCCCTACTGACCATGGCAGATGAAACTATTTTTTTAAGCATACCCTAGTGTTACTCTGCAACCCTGCAAAAAATGAAATTTTTCTGAGAGGGGGGCCGGTGACGCTGCCCTGGTTAGTTGGGTGTAAAAGCGATCTTCGATACAAGTGACACAAATATCAGATTATTTGCCCACTTTAAAGCAGGGCGGTCTGTAGTGGGACTTTTGGTTCGCCTTAATGTAATTAAACTTTTTGAATTTTATTTCCCAAACGGTTTTCATGCCAGTGTATGCAAGTCTTTTGGCTACCGATTATCACAAAAAAAGGAAGCAGATCTTCGGAAATGCCAAAAAGCGGAAAGTTCGCATGCTGTACGCATTTGGTGCTATGTATCCGGTTCACCTCCCTTAATTCTTTAGGAACCATGCTGCACCGATAGCTTTTCAACCGGAAGTTGCGCGTATAACCTGTTTTCACGCCAATCACACAAAAGACTGGGCTATACAGCTGCAGAATAACGCAAATAAAACTGTGAGGAAACGGGCAAAGCGACAGTTTTTGTGCATGTACGAGTACAAAAACCTCCGGCACATGATACCGAGTTCGGAACCATGTGCCGCCGCATTTCCGAAAGTCGCTAGGTGTGCAGTTTGATAGTTAATAAAACATTATTTAAAAAAGTGCATCGCTGCAGGCTCGCGCTTAAAGACAGAAATGAAGCCAGATCTAGAAAGAAGTTATAAAATAGTTGTCACTTCCAACAAGATTTTGTCCTACAAGCACTATTACTTCTCATAAGGAATCGTTTTTTGGTAATGGCTATAGTTTTTGTTTAAGTAGCCTTTCGCTTGTATAATTCCGTTTCGTCGGTTTGAGAAGACTGCTTTTAAAAAAGAAAAGAGAATTTTCATTGCACAGTTTGCAAATAGGGAGCACCACCCAAACAAAAACCCAACCGAATACATTAAAGTGTACGTACCCAAATACTGTATCTCACGAATACTGTATGATCTGTCTCTGCCATATGCATGTACCAGCATATTATTAAAACGAGTGTCTTTAATAAACATTGTTGGGAGGATGTGCGTCTGACGGCTCTAAAAAAGTAATCAAAAAATACATTTGTATTCAACAGCGTTTTTCGCCAAAAGATAGCTGCTGCTGAATAGAATATGCCCAGGTAAAATAACACGAAATATTAGTCATTACCGCTAACATCTTTTACAGCACACAAAGCTGGTCTTGCGCTGCTGTTGTAGTGGATCTCTATTAAAAACCGTTGTGCGCAACGTAATGCTAAATATTTCCTGATCTTGAAATTCCCTAAGTAATTCAACAGTCGAAAACTTTTTCAAAAAGTGACGCAACCCTATCTTTTACGCGATTAACAACGTTGTTGGCAGAAAGTATCCATCCAACGGGAAAGAAACTAACCATTCCAGAAGTCTATGGTGATGCGGCGGTTCCCAACCCGGACCTTATCAAAACCCACTTCTTTACGGAAGACAGACTGGACGAAGCATTGGCTCTTCGGCTAATTCACGATGCGTCCGAAATCCTTCGTGCTGAGCCCAACGTTCTCACTCTGCCTTCCGACATTACTGTCGCGGGCGATATTCATGGACAGTTCTACGATCTCCTCACTATTCTCCGAACCGGCGGACCGCATTTCTTGTTCCTAGGTGATTACGTGGATCGTGGTAGTTTTGGTATCGAATGCATCCTGTATCTCTTTGCACTCAAGATTTCTTCTCCCACTTTACATTTTCTTTTACGAGGCAACCACGAAAGCCGTCATCTCACCGAATACTTCTCGTTCAAGCGTGAATGTGTGGTCAAATACTCTGAAAGTGTGTATGATGCCTGTATGAATGCCTTTGACACACTGCCATTGGCCGCGGTCATTAATGAACAGTTTCTGTGCATCCATGCAGGGCTCTCGCCGGAACTGCGCCTTGTTGACGATCTGAATAATTTGCAACGTTTTAAGGAGATCAGCAGCGACGGTCTGATGTGCGATATCTTATGGTCCGATCCTGTTCCAGAGTTCGGGCATGAATTAGCCCCATACTTTTATTCGCATAACAGAGCGCGCGGCTGTTCGTACAACTATAGTTATTACGCAGTGGAGGAGTTTCTACGAAGAAACAAATTACTGGGAATCATTCGGGGTCACGAAGTACAGAATGCCGGGTTTAAGGTTTACAAGAGCAAACAAGCTGACAGTTATCCGCTCCTAATCTCGATCTTTTCCGCGCCGCAATATTTGGATGTGTACAACAATAAAGCCGCGGTTCTGAATTACGCCAATGGGAAAATCCATATTCGACAGTTTAACAGTGCTGAGCATCCATTCTGGTTACCGAACTTTACAGATGCCTTTACGTGGTCGTATCCCTACATCGTCAAGAAAGTGCGCGAGATCATATTGGTAATTCTGAGCATTTGTTCGGAGGAAGAACTGGAAGAGAGTGACCAAGCCAGTCGCCGTCGCAGAGCGGTAGAGCGAAGGAAACGCGTGTTTTCGTTGAAAATGCGAGCGATGGAGAAGTTCATAGAGCACTGTAAAGGGCTTGAGCACAATCTGCCGCATAAAGATTTTCTGACTCTGGATTATTTTCCATCTCTAGCAGACGACGCGCTTTTTGATAAGATTGAAGTAATAGATGCGAACGCTTCCCAAAAGGCAGAGAGCGTGCTTGTTAAAACGAAGTCCTTACCGGCTGATTTACGGCTCCTCGACACATCGAGGAGCAGCAATGAACCCGGCACGGCTGCCATAATTCAGCCAAGCAAGAGTTTGGTCAACTTTTTGACTGGGGACGCCGGCGATGCCGAAGAATCAAGAAGTTGATGCGGAAGCGCCCTCAAATTCATTCTTCCATGATTTCATGAACAAGTTTTTATCGCTTGAACCATTACGATGCATATATGCGGTTACACATATGTACAGGGTACTTTTTAACTCGCATATTATTTTGTTCTTGATAGTATTTTAGATAAATGCTCCCTGCATATTTGCTTTAAAAAGTTTCGTATTTGTTAGAAACCCATTCCGATATTACTTTGTCTGGAAAGGAACATTTCTTATGAATTCAGTTATCCGTCGTAAGAGCCCATGGTACTACCGATAATATGATGCGGCACCCATGTATACGTGACCGACTTAGTCCATATTCTGAAGTTTGTTCTGTAATTCAGTAAAGCCGCACAAACAGATGCTCGTTACGGAATTTGGGGTGACGTCAACCTGGTGACCTATAAAGTAGTCTGGCAGTTCCTGCTATCGGTTTGTTACGAAAACGAAGGTGGGGTCACGCTGGTCCTATAGCAGAGTCCAACCCGGCAGTAACTGCGGTCGGTTCCTTTTGTAGGAACATACGAATACCAGTCTGTACTGACCTATGCAAAATTGTCGGAAGGTGTTCATAAGGCCAAAAAAACAAAAACGCTAGGCATTTTAGTTAGCTCGACGTTTAGAAAACCCGGATAATTGTAAGATGCAATATTCCGGATAATAGTAGTATTCCAGAATTTGCAATGTAAACCTAAACTCAATTTACACACTATTCTTGATTTGTTTTTGAATAATTCAGCGTATACGTTATGAACAGATACGAGTAATAGTGTTAAGATATACAGGATAGCGTATACACGAATGTTTTCTGTTCAGTCAACTTTCAAATCTTGTGTATTTTGTCCAGAGCTGATGATCATGTAACGAAACAACAGAATTCTGCTTTGCCATTGCCGTGCGATCCATTAACTAAAGAAATCATAAAATAAAACAGACAGAATTTTTTACCGAATTTATAGCAGGTGAAGGTTGCTTAAATTTTCGATGTGATACTTATTGCACAGATCATATCTGCAAGATACCAACACTGTATTACCAGATTTTGTCATTTCTTTTTGTTTTTTGAAGCTTGTCAAATAAGTACCGGGTATGTACAGTACTATGTCTACCTTATCCCGTTTTAATAATTATGCAGCTAGCACAGTTTCAGCAAAACTGCCAAGGAAAACAATACTGTGTCCATTCCCGATCAGTGCCCGATGTAGCTCATACAAGGGGATGTCATTGGCTCATTCAATTTGATTATTCCAGTAAGCAGGATTAGATTTTTATTTACTGTACTGACTGTAGCACATTGAAAGGTGAAACTGAAAACGCTTATGTCGTGGACATTAACATAAGAAACGGTACTCCGGTTTTTCTCACATGTTGCTCGCTTTAACTATACTTCGATTACTGCCTTATATGGGCTCCCCTTATATTACTCTCCCTTATCTGGGCTCCCGGGCGATATGAGCAAACTTCTCCATGGGCGGTTACGTTATTACTCACGCTTTCGCAGCTGTTATCAGTGTTATGACTGACTGAAAATTTTGATTTATTTAAAATACTTATCTAATAATAAAAAAAATAATCTGATATAAAATTTCGGCATTTTTCAGTTTGTTTATTGGCAAATCCGGTTAAAATTATTGGAAAACATTTATCGACCGGAGCGCAGCGAAGGTCATCTAATTCAGGCGAAATGAAAAAGTGTCTGTCTGTCTGTTTGTTACGGAAGTAAACGATGACGTCATAAGCGGAAGTAAAAAATGACGTCATAGTTCTGCTCCAAACGTCCCTGGCGAATACGGGATTATGATTAAATTTTATGAGTGGATGTGCGCTGTTTATATAGGTACACTGCTGTATTGAAAAGCATTGTAACTACGCCATAGGTCATGAATACGACGACATGCATCGGCATCCCAAATACCTCAAATTAAAGCTTTTTTAAACCTAAAAGCGGACATGTCTGCTGTGATGATCGAGTGGCTACTGGCAATTCATCACAGCATATTTCAGCTACTGCCAATGACTAAACGAGACTCCCATCGACCTCTGGACTTTTCTTAGAGCAAATCTGACCTCGGGATCATTTTCAGCGCATTTTTCTGATATAGAAACCATTTTTCAAAATTGTTTCTGAAAGAAAAAATTTCTGACTGTCGGGGCCCCATACGCACCTCAATAACCTTGGGTGGCTGCAATGGCGCCACTAACAAAACTCTTATTTTTGCATTTCAAACACTTTTGACAAGTCGGTGGCTTATAGGACCCCGGCAGTCAGAAATTTTTCCTTTAAAAAACAGTTTAAAAATGGTTTTCTATATCAGAAAAATTCGCTGAAAATTATCCCGAGGTCAGATTTGCTTTAAGAAAAGTCCCGAGGTCGATGGGAATTTCGTTTAGTCACTGGCTACTGCAACCACACGTCTCATCCCCACTGTTTTCTTAAACCACCAAAGACTGCCGCCAGCTTGCCAAGACGTTGGTGACACCAGTACCTGATTTTTGCATACAGTCGAAATTCTGCAATTTTTTTCCCAAAATGCAGCCGGGTGAAAAAGTGAACAACCATAAAATGGCCTCCGCGCTTCGCTGCAAGCATTCGCCTCGCGGCATGCCCCTTTGTATGTATGTGACCGGCAAAAATCCCACTCCCATTCCCCGTCTCGGAAAAATGTTTTGCTGCCGTACACCCCATGCCAACAACCCGGAGTGGCACTGGCAACCCGTGGCCCTAATGGTGATATTCGGACATGCTACCACACTGCATCTGCCATGTTATTTTCTGCTCTGCCCGTTGAAAAACAAACTTTTACAAATTAGCCGTTACAGACACTTTCAGTCTTCAACCTTAATAAGAGCTGCGCTCCGGTCAACCAATGCACAGTTCGGTGCATTTTCCTAGTAAATAAAATATATAAATAAAATTCGATATATAAATGATATATAAATGAATTTCGACTGTATGCAAAAATCAGGTACTGGTGTCACCAACGTCTTGGCAAGCTGGCGGCAGTCTTTGGTGGTTTAAGAAAACAGTGGGGATGAGACGTGTGGTTGCAGTAGCCAGTGACTAAACGAAATTCCCATCGACCTCGGGACTTTTCTTAAAGCAAATCTGACCTCGGGATAATTTTCAGCGAATTTTTCTGATATAGAAAACCATTTTTTAAACTGTTTTTTAAAGGAAAAATTTCTGACTGCCGGGGTCCTATAAGCCACCGACTTGTCAAAAGTGTTTGAAATGCAAAAATAAGAGTTTTGTTAGTGGCGCCATTGCAGCCACCCAAGGTTATTGAGGTGCGTATGGGGCCCCGACAGTCAGAAATTTTTTCTTTCAGAAACAATTTTGAAAAATGGTTTCTATATCAGAAAAATGCGCTGAAAATGATCCCGAGGTCAGATTTGCTCTAAGAAAAGTCCAGAGGTCGATGGGAGTCTCGTTTAGTCATTGGCAGTAGCTGAAATATGCTGTGATGAATTGCCAGTAGCCACTCGATCATCACAGCAGACATGTCCGCTTTAGGTTTAAAAAAGCTTTAATTTGAGGTATTTGGGATGCCGATGCATGTCGTCGTATTCATGACCTATGGCGTAGTTACAATGCTTTTCAATACAGCAGTGTACCTATATAAACAGCGCACATCCACTCATAAAATTTAATCATAATCCCGTATTCGCCAGGGACGTTTGGAGCAGAACTATGACGTCATTTTTTACTTCCGCTTATGACGTCATCGTTTACTTCCGTAACAAACAGACAGACAGACACTTTTTCATTTCGCCTGAATTAGATGACCTTCGCTGCGCTCCGGTCGACAAACCTGGTTTACCGGCACGTTTAGATACGTGTTTTACAGATATCTCGGCGAGAAAGATAGGTGCACTGGCCAGCTTATGTGGTTTACAATTACATCATGTGTTACTTGCGGTGCGGCACAGGATCAGTCTGCATTTTGAATTCCGATCTGTCGAATGCACATCAGTTCCGAATATACCAGTTCCGATTCCGTACCGAATGTACATAAATATTGTCAAACCGAAAAATAAAAACAGCCTATTACAGTGGACATACTTAACATCATCATTAATGTCTGTTTCTGAAAGTTTTACAGTTCAAATGCACCGTTTACGCGACCTCTTAAATTTGCCAAATCCAAAATGTATTGCAGATTAGGAAGCGTTATGTAGACGGATCAATCCAAACGATTATCAGTAAACCGATCAGTTCAAACGAATTTCTGGGTTGCCTGATGGATATACGGGCTCTTCCACAAACCTTTCGTTAAACCTGGATATCGTTGGCATCGTTAGTGGAATGTGGGTCATACTTTGATTCAGTTACATTGAACATTTTTTCTTTTTCTAATTTTTTAAAAACCGCTGGAACAGTTTGCCGATATTTTCAATGGTTTGTGTGAATCCTTTCGTCTGTGTGAATCCTGTCTGTGTGAATCCTACTGGTCTGTGGGAATCTTTTCGTTCGACTTTTGCTAATCAATAAAAATATTTAATTCTGCTGCTCGCGTGTACGATAACCGAACGACAACGCGGTTTGCCGGGTATTTTAATGGTAAAACAATGATGTATACAATGAGTGAACAAGGAAAACACAATAAACAAACAACAAACGCCCCAATTTCCTCTTTGAAAATAGGAAACGGGTGGGTGGGAAAAACGCGTTCGACGCGAACTGCATCAGTGAATTCTTATAAATGACGATGAACATTTGCAGCTGCAGAAGGCAGCATGAAAATCTTGACGATCCCACGAAAACAGCATCTGACCACCCAGATGGCCACTAATAAATCTCAACCGCGACAGAACATTAACGTCAAGGCGAGACAAAAAGCATGCCGCTCGCCAGAATCAAAATTCATTACCTCCGATGATCCCTTTTAATGCTTGAACGTTTTTGGCGTTCGAACTGCTTTGGCGGCATGGTTTTATAGTTGATGCTACCGCTGAATTATCAGCTTCTCCAGCGCGCAGTTATCTGGAAAATGTCAACTGGCGGAAGTCAGCAGTTTGCTCATACCCATACCGAGTCACTAAAGATCAGTTAGATTAAGGAAGAAAGCAGTTTAGGCTAAAGTAGCTAACGATTACAGTACAACATAATTACAGACGTTACCCTTGTTATGCAGATCATCCGTTCCCTTTTCGATGGAGACGATCCTTATAGTACTCTGTAGGCCAGCGGGAACGTCAGCCCCTATTTCCCATAATGCGATGTTTCCATAATGAGCAGCTGAGCACAGGACGGTGCTCCGCGGCTGGAGAAATAACATCT